ATCAAGCTGCCAATGGCAACATAACTCGGAGATTGTAAGAGCTGCTTTTGCAAGATGGTCAGCTGTATTTTGAGCATTTTATTAACACATTAGATAAGTTATTTACAAAAACATGTAAATAGGTGATCATAAAAAATCAGAACAATAAGATCAGAACAATATTGGGAAAAATGCAATTCAACCGCCCCAATTCAACATTTAAATTGGATTAAAAAAATAGTATTAACTAACAAGATAAGTTATTAGTGAAAAATTTGAGTAGCTAATGTCTTCATGTATTGAATTTGTTTTGAGCTCCTTTGTTGAAGTATGAAATCCACATTGTTCTTTTGATTATTCTTTATGCTCTTGATTTGCAGTTTTGCAGAATTATTCCAGTGGTTTTCTTCCAATCACTGTTAAGCGGATTAAGGTTTATTGATAAAAATATAAGCTTATTAGTTCAGAGAGACATCGAAATTTATAAAAAGAAAAGCTTCAGCTTAGTTACATGTAAATTAACAACGGCGACATAAAGTTCGAAGTGTCTGTCTCAACTTACATGCCCGGCTGCCGTGTAAATAGTGGAAGTCAAAATGTCAGTTTGCGAAAAAAAAATACAGAATTACTGAACAAAAGTCCTTGGTTAGCTCTAGCTTAGGTTTAGGGTAAGGTTTGGGTTGGGTTTAGCGATGAAATTAATGATTTAGTCTCGGTACGTAAGCTAATTATTTGAAAACAATGAATACTCACGGGCAGCATGTAGCTCTCACAGAAAGAACATTCTGGGGGCATACAGGAAACTTTATTTTTCATCATTAAAAACCCTTAATCTACCTATTTAAGTGAGAATGGGTGGGATGAAGGTCGCATGCGAGACGGGAACACCAAAGATTCTCAACCGAAGTGTAAAAAACCTTTACCCCATCGAAGTCCAGATCAATTAACTGAGAACATTGATTTTACAACTATTATCAAGATAGTAGATATTGACATTTGAACATTTTCCTTTTTAAACTATTCGTATATTATAGACATACTTAGATTTATCTTTGTTCGTTATATATATTTTTTGTACATCGTTATAACAAGCATGTTTCCCTGGGGAGCATTTGATCACTTTAAACATGACCAACCTGGGGAGTGTCACATATATTTACCTATTATGTATTACGTTACTGTTAAATCTTTTACCACGTGATTTAGTATCAAATTACTTACATATATAGATTGCAAGACACGTGTCGTTAGTTACCTAGTGCAAGTGTGTAAGAACAAAATCAATTCAATAAAGCAAGACGAAAAACGAATATAACATGTTGCCAACATCACGTTTTCACGTAAGATTATTTTTATTTATACGTTTTCACATAAGATTATTTTTTTTTAGCTTTTTCACCAATCACGTAAAATTATTGTTTTGTTTCTCGGATCACACATATTAAAGGAATATATTAATTCACAATTAGTATATAGTTTCAAACATGCAAAAATAAAATCTGTACGATCTGTACGATTCACGAAAAAGGTGTATACTTGATGGTGTGAGTTCCTTAAATGACACTTTTACAGAGGCGTTATACTTTACCTTGTAAAGTAAACCAACTTAAAAAGATCAAAAGATTTTCAATATCACAATAGTCTGACACACTGGAGCGCATTTCACCCAGAAGAAAAAAAAACAATATCCTTAGTCTAACTTTTAATAAAGGTAATAAAGAAATTACACTTCTTTGGCTTTTTTGGTGGCATTTTATTTTTATTTTTTCTTGCTTTTTATGAAGGATTTTCACGTTGCTGAACATGCTTCATTTTTTTCATTTTTGTCCAGCCAAAACTGGAACATGTCTGGTCAAAACTGTATTTGAACGGTCATCATGTCCGGTCACTGAGCCCTGACTGAGATTCCTCCAGCGAAATCTGCTGTTCCTGTAGAGTCTTCACATTCTGGAGACAATTCTGCCGTCAACACCTGTTCCACAACCAAAACAAGTGCATCTCCTTCTCCTAAAGTCTACTCTCCTCCAGTCACCATTTCACCAAAAGAGGCTCCAGTAGTGGCTTCCAAGACCCTTCCTTCTCCTTACCAGACCATTGCGTCCCCTGGTTTGGCAAATGACTAGAAAGTACTTAATTTGTGGGTTCAGCTTCCAGGGGAGTATATGTTCCTGTGCGACTACTGGAAAAAGTAACAACTAAATTGCCGAAAAACTTTATCTTATCTCTTTGAAATAGTGTTTACCCACCAAGAGTCTGCTCAAAGCAGCGTTGAAAGGAAAGAGAGAGAAGCTGAGGAAATTGGACTCAAATTGCCTGAGTACCATTTTGAGCAACATCAATTAAAGTTACTCAACACCCCAGATATAATTCTGTCGTGGGAAGAAATGAAAAAAATAATAGACTCAAAGTGCAGAATGGTCCGCAATGACAGGTGCAAGACTTGGGCTGGCATTGAGAACAAGAGACGATAAGTGCATCAATATTTCTTTGACATTCTTTTATATTACTTATCATGTAAATGAACTGAAACTGGCCAAAATATACATGTACACCTATTATCACACGTGATGTTCATTTTTTCTTCTTTTCTTTTCATTATTACAAAATCATCAAAAGCCAATTGTAAGTACATACATATCATTTAGTCTATTATAGCTGAAAAATATATATGCTATTTTTGATATGGTGAAAAATAATTATTAATAAAAAGGTAAAGTAAACAACTTTTTATATTTTAATGTTGTGTTCCAATGTTTTCACAGCTCCACTATGATCATCATGGCTATTGCCTGTGATCACGTGTGATGGTGTGTTCACGGTGTCATTTTGTGCGATCACAGAGTGATCACGCGTCAAACGTTTTTACCTGTGATCACACATATTTTCATACAGTGGGTCATATTACACACTGATCAAGCATTAAACATAACTGACTTAATAGTGCATGGCGACGAGGATAAAAACTACTGTATGAAGATAACTTCCTAGAGGAAGTTTTTTAATCCGACAAAAAGTTTTGTCACCATGAAAAATGCAAGCCATTCAGAGGTATTACACAAATGGCGTTCAGATATGACTCAAAAATATTTTGCTTTTAAGAGGGCCCATCATTCAAGCAACTATGAGGTTGCTGTCAAAGCTCTATTTAGCCAAAAGTATCTTTTGATATCTTATAGAGCGCAACCAAGTAATTTCACAAGTTTTGAGATTGAAGACTGGGTGTCCAATCGTTGTGAAACGTTTGCAATATTTTCCCCGTACTGCATAATAATGACATTGAACATTAAGACTATTTGATGTAAAAACATTACTCAAACATTCAACACTGTAAATTCATACTTAATTTTTCATTTTAACTTTCACATTTCACAATTATTTTCAATACATAATGTAAGCTTAATGCTTTCGAAGTGCCATTTCAACTAGACATTTTGACGAGTTTCCTACCTAAAAAACGATGATTTGTTCATTTAACTTCTCCAACTTGTACCAAGTATATTCACGTGCGACTGTAGAACGAGGTTATCCATATCTCAAAGCACATGTTATGTAAAATAGACTTTCACGCAGCTAACAAGTCAAGTAATGGCTTCCCCTCATCTCGTATAACAATCGCGCGTCTTCTGAATGTCCAAATATGGAGCTAGTTACTAGACTCTTTCCGATCGTTCCGATCCACACCCAGTCAAGGGGTTCGTGCACTTTATGTAAAATATTTATTTGAACTTTCGGGATTCAACTATTTTTAAAAAAAAAAACAGTTGAAAAAATACACTCAATAGTTGAAATTTTTTAATTTGTTTTGCCATCGTACGTTTTTGGCTAACTCTGATAACGCCAACGCCAACGGTTAGTACGATATCGACGTATACCACAGGGGGGGGGGGGGGGGGGGGGGGGGGGGGGGGGGGGGGGGGGGGGGGGGGGGGCAGGTGAAATTTGGGCGGGATCGTAATTTTTATAGTCATTTTTTGGGGGGATGACAAATTTTTACTGTATTCAAGAGGGGGGTTGCTAAAAATATTAATTAAAATCTTAATTATATCCATTTTGAAATCAAGTGAATCCTGCAATCTGATTGGTTCTTAGAAGGTTGATTTCAGCCTAAATTGCACCATTTTGAACTCATAATCACACTCTTTTGAAGCAAATATTGTATTTATACTAATTAATAAAATTTTATGCTGTACAATCGATGTGTTAGATTTCAAAATGGATATAATTTTAGTGGTAATTCGTGTCGTGCAATTTTGGTTTGAAATCAAACTTGTGATTACAAATTGCACTAATGCTACGCAGTCGTGCGATTTTGAATCACGCGTTTGATTTCAAACCAAATTGCACTCCACTCAGTTCAATTCCCATTATTAATTACAAATGGAAAAAAGGTATAAACTGTAGAGGTTACAATTAACGGATTAAATGCCATATTAGTTTATAGAGAATATGGTAAAAACCAACAAGTAACTAGTAACTATAAAACCGGATGTAACGCAGGCT